TTTAGAGCTAAGAACACACAAACACAGCAAATGAGAGTGTTTTTAACTAGGTAATGTTTCTGAGAGCATAGCCAAAAAACACCTCGTTAAACTAACAGCATGCTGAATATTAAACTCACCCAGAAGAATCTCCTGCTCTTGCTGTCTCACTGCCTTCAACAGGACTTGTGAAGAGCTGTAACATCAACTGGTAGCCATTAGTAACAATCAGCACACAGCAGCAGAGGCATACAAGCTCCATCTGAATATAGAGATACCAGAAAATAAGTATCAGGCTTTAAATTTTGAGGAAGAGAGGAGGGAGGGAAAGCAGATTGATTTAAGCTATAAAGTTTGAACCTACAAAATATGCCTCTCAAATTTTTGGCAGTCTATAAGCCTCATTTCTTCTCAGCTTAGATTCGACCTGGTATAAAGCTCTACATGGCCCAGCGAAGCTCACTTACCTTCACATTAGGGCCATCTTCAAAGAGCGACCTGCTCCCAGTCCTAATTCTGTGACACTGATCTGGAAAGACCAGGTTCTGCAGATAAAGTGAAACAGATGGACATGGAGCTACATTAGATATTACAAGAGCACTTTTCACAGAAAGCAAGTATGAATACAAGTTGCCTGGTTAGTTCTGGAAGACAAATTTCCAGACAACTCAAACGTTGCATGCATGTAGCTGTATGTCAGACAAAGAAGAAGGTTATCGTCAGTTCTCGCATCTGACGGCACTTCCTATTCAGGGTTATCATCATCGACAGCCACAAACTTTTCTATTTGATTACTTAAAACACAGTGATTGTTTCATTTTGAACCAATACTTGCACACTTTCCACTTCGTTTAGACAACTCATTAACTCTGTTAACTTGATACATAAAACTAGATTTAATTAATCTTAACTTGCTTTAAGATGTAATTATCAAAGGTTAATTTCGAGTAACTGTTCTGTATTAAACTGCTTTACATCATTAGCATGCAAGTAAAGGCCTGGAACTTTCTTTAGTATGTGTGCCTCAGTACAAAATAAACGTTAACTTACTCTTTACTTCAAGACATCTTTCTGCTGTGGAACAAAAGCAAAAGAAGCATTACTAGAATACTCTTCAGCAGTAATTTTAGAAAATTATAAAGTAGGTTTATCCAGGGAAAAAAAACCCCAAACAACGAAAAATCAACCCCCCACCAAAACCGGAACCCCAGCACCAACAGTCTCCTTGTACTTCTACCCACGCTTGCGCTGGTATCATGAATCACCGAAGTATTTACACCGGACAGTTATTAGTAGTCAACAATCGTCTCTAAACTGTTTTCAGTCAGGAAACTTAGAAATCTCCCTTATACAGGTTGCCAGGCTGCATTTACCGTGAGGGCAATTTTTCAATTGAAATTCCACGCAGCACCAATTCCAAGGTTGTAACGTCTATTGCAGAGACGGGGCCTGGCCCATCCAACCACCAAAAAGAAGCGACCCGTTCGCTGGAAGCGGGGCCATAAAGCCACAAACCCACCGCAGGCCCCGGAGCGCCGCGGCCCCCGCGGAGCTCTGCGCTGGGCCCTGCCAGGGGCTTGGC